GCAGCGGAAGCGGGGGATGAAAAAAACCGTCTTGGTCTGTTTTCGTAGGCCTGGTTGTGGTCGTCATCATCCTTTCGACGACTTTCTTCTTCTCGATCGTTTTTTTGGGCGGGCTCCTGTACTTTTTTTGTCGTGGGTGGAGATAGCATTGAAGGGGTGTTCTTGGAGGAAGCAGTGCGTGGTGTTGGGTGTTGCCTTTGTTGTCGACGCAAGGCAGCAAAATGGAGTCACATCGGTCGAGGACAGATCCCCGTGCAGGCATTGACGGGGGATTCCAGTCCCAGGACATGCCCACGCAAGGATCTGTCCCGTACTCCTCGCCTTCACCGGAGAAGGCGCAGTCCTTCGGTGGGCAGTTGCACGAGGGTGTGAGGGCTGGGCCAATTCATGTCCCACCTGCTCGTGTCCCCTCTTCACCAATCCCTTATGCCGCACGTGCACGTCAGCGGTTCGATGTTCAGCCATCTGCACACACTCTGCACGCGGTCCCCGTGCACACGGGCCAAACCTCATATTGCACACAGGTTGGAGGCAGGTATGGCATGCTCGGTCCACACACGTTCCTTGTCGGTGGTGGGTATGGCATTGTCGTGCACATGTACCCCACCCAGCACACTGTGGAAAGGGGGAGAGTAATGAGGGATGATTGGCAGTGGTCCCCGCAGTGCGGACAGACGTCGCAACTGCTGCATGGCGGAATGTCCGCTCCCTCGCCCATGTCAGTTAGGCGGTTTGTTGCCAATCCTTCGCCTTCAATGGTAGATGTGCAAGGAGAGAATATGGATGAGGGGTGGCCAATGTACAGTGCTACCTCGTCGTCTGCCGGGTTGCAAGGTTATTCCTTTGTTGGCGACGAAGATGAGTATGTTGACGACGAAGGTGAAGGTGATGGCGGTAACACGGATGCGCATAATCCCAACAACATGCAGGACGACAAGGACAGTGTTGGGCAGACAAATAGGGATTAAAATGTGGTTGGGCCCCAAAGCAGCAGGCGTGGAAACAAACCGGGAGGCAAAGATGGTGCTGCAAAAAACAAAAAACAGAACATCCCATGGAGCTTAAGGGAGAGGATCACACTGTCGAGATTGATGGCCAAGGATGATGTTCTAATGGCCGACGCCGAGGGCCAGCATCGGTTCAAGAAGAGGAAGGAGCGGTATGAGTGGGTGCACGATCCAATGGCGGATCACGGGTTTCCGCACAGGTTTGCGGAGGATTGCCGTAAGAGGTGGCAGGGCATGATGGCTGCACCAAATATTATTCTCGACAAGTGTGAGAATGCTTCGGGCAAACCTTCATACTGGGACATGACCATGGACCAGCGGAAGGCGGAGCAGGTGCCACTGACCTTTGAGAAAGCGTTGTGGGAAGCGATAGAGTGGCAACTCAATCGACCCTCCATCAAGTGTGACAACACGCTCGCATCGGAGAACTTGCCGGGTAATACGGGAGGGGCATCAACGAACACCGGTCCGACACAACCCGCTTCAGGGAAAAGTGGCTCCGACGGTAGAGCAACGGAAGACTGCGACAGTGCAGCGAAGACGAGGGGGACGAATACAGGCAAAGCGAGGATAAACTACACGATTAGCGGTGGGACAGTATTGGGAAGGGCGATGGAGGGCACGACACGGTCGTACAACAAAGGTCTGGATAAGGCCGTCACCACTCAGGCAAAGGCAACGTCATAGGCCGGCTCAATGATCACGGCGAAGATTGGTGACGTCGCATATGCCATGTGTGGGGGGAACATTGTCCTCGAGATGCTTGTGGGGGTTCTTGCGAGGCGCGGGGGTGGGGGGAACAGCGGGGCACATGGGAGGGCGGGCGCACACCCCTCGTCGCATTAGCATTCGAGGATAACAGGTTACTAAAAAAAAAAAGGAGCACAAAGAAAATATCAATCAATCATACGTATATATAAATATATATCCTAACACTTAAGCAACATTGACCGCGAGGGGATGTCGATGGTCCGCTGCGTGCTGGATCCGGGGTTGAAGTTTTGAGGAGGGGCGGTGGATGAAGGTGATCCAGGGACGGGGAGTGTGCAGAGGGGCTCGCGTACCGAAATGTTCACAACGCGCCATAAAAGGAAAGAGCGCGCTCAGGGGGCCAGGCGGCGGCGGGCGTAGATGCGAGTGAATATCTTGAAGCGCCCGCCGACTTCCTTTTTCTTTTTCGTTTTTC